ACCTCTCTCTGTATCAGGTTCTTAGTAAAAGGAAGCAAGGGGTAGGTAACAACGATTTTTAACAGGTGTGGAACATAGGAGCCACAGCACTGGTGCTGTTCTCCTTCAGGTGATCAATCACTCTTGCCACCACATGTACTGTCACTAGGGCAAGGAGAAAGACTGGATATACTGGCAGTTAGTTTGTAGGATGGGTCTAGTGTGAACTCCCATTCTGTAAGCTATATTCCCCTGACTCTAAAGTTTGGCCCAAGAGTCTTTGACCAATTCTTTATTCCCCTGACTTTAAAGCTCCCAAGAATCTTTGACCAATTCTGCAACAACTGAGCCCCAGAGTACATGCACCATTAAAATATCAAACCCCAGTTAGGATCAGTGTGCCCTGAATAGGAGGAGGGAAATAGTCCCTGCAGAAGCTTGAGGAAGGGAGCCAGTCAGGTCTCTGTGTGGCCTTTCTCCTGGAGCCCCCTTCCCTTGACTTAAATTGATTCAGCTGGTAGTAATCACTCTGTGGCTGAAGCACTGCTCATTTTCCTGGAAGCCCTGCCAGAGCCAGTCATCTGTTACGAGCTATATCAGCGATGTCTTGATTCTGCTCATGATCCCCGGATCTGCCGACAGGTGAGTTTTACTGATCTGAAGATGTGTTTGGTGCAGGTTCCCCCATAGAGAAATCACCAATTTTACAAGGCCAGGTTGGCAGCCAACTATAAGGTAGGATGGGTCTGGATCTGTTATTCATGGCAGGACAGCAGCATTGAGAGTTGAGACCCTTAAATTTTAGATTGTGTTATTTCCTATATTTGCCACCTTTTCCCGGTTGGCCTATTTCTGTTTACAGAAAACATAGTAGGGTGGATATCTTTACTCTAGGGTAAAAGTGGTGAAGCTGATTGTACGTGGAATTCCAGCTGACATTACCAGGAAGGGTGGGTGACACTTTGGAGCCTTTCTTCTTTTTTCTTCTCGGTGTGTGTTTTTAATCCTGAAATGATTTTGGTGCACAATAGCTGAGACTACCTGTGACTCAGACTAGTGAGTATTGGTTGGAGGTCCCCATCCATGCTAAGTAACACTGTAAGAAAAACCATTCACCTTGGTAGATACCATGGCTACCTTCTGGGGAAATGGAAAAAGAACAGATTAACACCAACCTGCTTGTGAGGCAGGGTGTGCATGTGAATGTGTGACGACCACATGGCCTGGGCATTGAGTGGACTGGAACCAAAGAGTATGACCATTCTAACTTCAAAGTTATAATTTGGCAGGTACTGTGTTGATCAGATATTATGTCACTACCCAAAGGAGGGTAGTAACAGATAAGTGGGATCCTGTAAGGGTTGGATTATAAACTACTTTTGTAGCAGCTATAAAGTTCCTCTTACTCCCTTCTTCCACCTGTTTTCCTCACTGCCCACCCCTTTTATTAAAAACAGGTGATTTCCCAGCTTCCAAGATGCCATAGAAATGTTTTCCGTTACTTGATGGCGTTCCTTCGAGAACTCTTAAAATTCTCAGAATACAACAACATCAGTGTCAACATGATTGGTAAGAATGCCCGTGAGAATGACTGCATGGGGGTGTTTGTCAGGGACAGTCTATGTGCATTGTATACAATGTATACCTTACTGGGTGTCCAGGTACATGACAGTCACTTCCCTCCTACTGTCCTCGTCCCCAGGGCCCCCAACCCCCAACCCTGAGGTTTTGCTTAGGTTATGTCTGATAAAGGTTTCCCCTTTTCTTTCTTTTTCTAGCTACTCTCTTCACTAGTCTTCTTCTAAGGCCTCCACCCAACCTTATGGCAAGACAGACTCCAAGTGACCGCCAGCGTGCTATTCAGTTTCTTCTGGGCTTTCTGCTTGGGAATGATGAAGACTAAGGCTTTTCCTCTTACTACTCTCCGAGATTCTAGAGGTGGAAGATCTCGGGCTCCAAGTATTTCAGAATGGTTTAAAAAGTCCTGCCACAGGAAGGGTCTATTGCAGAATTTCAAATTCTGTTTATAGTGTAAAAGGAAGAGAGTTTCTTAATCCCTCATTTACCATATCCTACACAGCAAAATACTTTTAGACTTACATTGCCAAGCCAAAGTTACCATATTTTGGTGTTTTTGTGTTTTCTCTTTATAAGGCAAAGAGATCTGTATCTATACTCCTTTACCTGGGGGTGTGTTTGTTACCCTCCTACCCAATCGTCATGTTTGTCCTTGGTACCCTAGGCCTAGATTCTGAGATGGTTCCATTCTAGGCCTACAAGTACTACTTGCTGTAGCTCAGACTTGTCTGTAGTCCTTCATATAAGCACTTTTGACTCACCCCCCTCCCTGTATCATTCTTTAGACTCCACTCCCCTCGTTCTATCACTTTGAATGAAGTCTGAGTGAGGCTAGTGACTCCTTGGGTGTCCTCAACGGTGAGTTCACCATCTACATGTGGTTGTTACATGCGTTCGCGCATTTCTACTACAATGGCATCTTTATGTCTCTATAACATTGGCCTTTTTGTGGATCCACACTGAGTGGAACCATATTCTCTTATCTCAGATCGCATTTAGTAGCATAACTTTAGGGACTATTAGAGATGACATCCCATTGATGTGAGAGAATCACGATCAGAATGGAAGCACTTTGAGTATTTCAGGAGTGAGAGTATTCGTGTTTGACAGGTCCTGCATTTCACTATCCCTTTCCTGTCATTCAAATTTTACATGAAGACTAATCCTGGGTGTCTGTGGGACCCATCTCCTCCTTAGAAATCCACGTCGAGAGCAACACTTGCATCACTGTACAAAAGGGGGTCTGTACACCTCCGTTAGGCCTGTCTAGAGCTATCACTCCTTCTCACTGCAAGGATAACAAGGATGACCATTAGAACCCCTTCTCTAGTCTTCTGAAGTACCAAGGGGCAGATGTCACCTCCTCCCTCAGCAGGGCTGACTCTGAGCTTTTCATGTATTCAAGCTGTGGGACAGCCTTTTAAAAAAAAATAATCTATGTTGGTTGACAAAAAAGCCACCAGCCGCTGATTGCAGAACTGCCTGATGCAATTGGCTTCCTCCTGGTTTTCTTTAGTTAAAACCACCCTGAAATGACTCATTCTTGCCTGGTAACATCAGATGCAAGGAGCATGATGCACAGGCTCTGTGTATGATCTCGAGCATTGACTCCATGATTCTTCTAGCGCATCCAAGGCACCGCCACCAAATGAGTCTCCAATTCCCATCTCTTGAAAGTTGAGTTCTTTAGTGAAAAGAAGGTACATATCCTGCAATATACCGGCTAAACCCTTTCCTGATTGGGAGTTGGGGAAATAGGAGTCACGTTACTGGTTCCATATAGCTGAAGATCTGATATGTCAGGGGCTGAGTGTTGAACTTAGTTAATGGAAGACTGAGAGCAGAGCACTTTTGTCATCTCCACTAGGCCAGAAAGTGATCACAAAAAGAGGCAGATGATAGACACTGGGGCAAGGTCATAACACGGGGAAGTGCCTTTCTTGGGCCCATTTTCTAGTATATTGCCAACCTGGGATCTTTGGGCGATCAAGGTGTGATTAGTGGGGGCTCGTGCAGCATGTGTGCAGCGTACTAGCTCTTTCTCCATCGGGTCAAAGCACTAAGTTGGTTTACTGCCTCAATCTTTTCAGCTCACCATGGGATGTATACAGGGTCAAGAGTTTTAGACAATCTCTAGATAGGGGAGACAAAACATAGACCAGACGTAAGAACTCTGCTTCCCTACCATGCCTATTCCAGTACCCCAACCTCTAATTCCTAAGTCCTCTAAGGTACTATTTCATAGCTCCTCTGAAGTAAGGATTTCAGATCCAGCTGGTAGGGAAGGACTCCGCACCTATTGTTTTAGGGAAGAAATGGTTCAAATCCATGTGGTGACATTGCATTAGTCTCCCTTTCACTGTTTTCTGATTCTTATTCTGTAATCATTTGTTATATTTCCCAAAAATGTCTTGATCACTAAGCAAAGCTGCTAGTGGGATTCTGTATTTCATGTCATCTTTTTTATTATAATTTATTGCAAATTTTTTTTCTGAATAAATATATGTTGTGTGAAAAAGTGAAGTGTGATCTTGGTGAGGAGGGAGGGCTTATGCCACTGGGTCCGGTTGACTTTGCTGCAGTCCCCATCAACAGCACCTATACTGTCATCACCTGTCTTACAGGGAAACGTCATTTATAAGATTTCTCAGTATATTTGCCCTCAGAGATGAAAAGAAGCTATGCATTTTCAGAGGCCAGCCAAATACCCTTATTTTAACCCTAAGGATTCAGGCAACAAAACAACTCCATTAGAGGAAAGGATGTTGATTCTTAATGCATGTAAATGTCATACTAGGTCAGATCTGTGATCCCTCCAGCCCCAGAAATGTGACAAACACGACAAATACTAACACACATTTGGGGAGGACCCAGTTGTCCTCGCTGACATAGCCTCAGTAGTTTAGACATATGCCCCAAAGAGTCTGTTTTCACACAATCCATTTTGCAGCTCTTGAAAACCAACGTTGAAGTTTTATTACATTTTGGGGTGATGAAGTCCATAAATTTAGTACTTTTTTTTTTTTTTTTGCTCTCATCTGAACTCCAACACTTCGAAAGGGAAACCCTGATTTGAGCATGGTGCCATTTTTCCCCTGCCGATCTCCATTATGAATTCGTGGATTCTGATTTCATTCCCTTGAGACTGAACAGGCCTCGGCTGGATATTTCTTCTCAACCAAGGCCCTCTTCCAGTTCCCTCCAGCTGTGAGCTTGACCCTGGTGAATGTGCTGACTCAATGTTGTCATGAACAGTTTCTCTAGCCCCACCCAAAGCTTTGGCAGGAGAAGGGGTTTCTTTTTGAGAGTGATTTTCCCCCCTGGCAGATGGAGACTGACACCCAAAAGTTTTTACACAGCAGCTGGCAATGTGGCATAACAGACACAGTGGCCATTTTTTCCAGAGGTTGGAGAGGAAATGGCCTCCCCGGCTGCTGGGTATCTGTTACAGAAGACCCATTAGGACCTTTCTGATGGCAGGACAAGTTGAAGAACTGGCTCTTGGCATAGCCTAATGATCTAAAGGCACACACTGCAACAGTGCAATCATGAAATGTTAGAGAAAGAACCTTAGTGATGATCTAGTCCAGTCTCATTGTTCGGGTGGGGAAAGTCTCAGAGGGGACAATGACTGACCTAAGGTCACTTAGGTTAGTGACACAATGTGGCATAGTGGCATTTTTTCAAACACTTCTCTGCTTGTCCACTAATTCCTTTCATAGCATCTCATCACTTTCCATAGCTTTAAATACAATGTATTAATATAATGCCCTGACTCCAAATGTTATGTCTCCAGCTCATACCTCTCTTCAGAGTTTCTGCCCAATATATCCAATTAGTTAGCTGACAGCTCCCCTCACGTGTCTCACAGGCATGTCGAGCTTCATGTGTCCAAACTGGGGTTCTTTTACTTATAGTTCTTTTAGTACCACCTAACCCAGATCCTCTACCAGTCTTCAGTCAGCTCAGAGAATGTCAGTGCCATCCACCCAATTGCTCGGCCTAAGCATGTAGGAGTTAGTTTTGATTTCTCTCTTTCCTACCGACCACCTCGACCATGTGCCCCACATGCATCTACTTCTCATCACCTCCACTGCCAATTTTATTCCAGGCTGGCATCAGCCTTTCCCAGGGGGTTGTGATAGCCTCCTACCTGGTCTTCTCGTTTTTAGCCTTGCTGCCCTCCAATCGATTCTCCACACAGCAGGCAGCATTACCTAATTACCCCAATCTCATCACTCCCCTGTTGGCAGCCCTTCAGTGACTTCCCAGTACATTTCCAATAAAACCTAAGCTTTCCCATGGCCCACTAGGCCCTGCGTCTGTGGGTCTCAAATCTTAGTGTGCAGAAAAATCACCTGGAAATGTTAAAAAGCAGGTTCCTAGGCCCCACCCCCAGAAATTCTGATTCAGTAAGTCTGAGATGGCACACAGGGGTCTGCATTCTAAATAAGTACTCAAGATCTGAGCCCTGCCTACCAGAACCACTCCAAGCCCTGCCACTATACTTTTTCTTTTCTTTTCTTTTCTTTTTTTGAGACAGAGTCTCACTCTGTTGCCCAGGCTAGAGTGCCGTGGCATCAGCCTAGCTCACAGCAACCTCAAACTCCTGGGCTCAAGCCATCCTCCTGCCTCAGCCTCCCGAGTAGCTGGGACTACAGGATGTGCCACCGTGCTCGGCTAATTTTTTCTATGTATATTTTTAGTTGTCCAGCTAATTTCTTTCTATTTTTTTTTAGTAGAGACAGGGTCTTGCTCTCTCCTCCTGCCTCGGCCTCCCAGAGTGCTAGGATTGCAGGTGTGAGCCACCAGGCCTGGGCCCTGCCACTATACTCTGACACTGTTTTACTCTGCCCAATGAACTGAGCTCTTTCCTACCTCAGGGCCTTTGCACATGCTGTTTTTTCTCTCTCTTTCTCACACACACACCTTGGCCCTCATCTTTGCTATACATAACCCTAAGTCACCTGCCCTTCGCATTTACTTTCTCTACTCCTATTCCTGGGCTTCCTGGCACAGCATGCTGGCTGACTGCCCGTGGGCCTGCCATGTACAGTTTCACAATCTTCCTCTTCATCTCTTGCTGACCCTTCATATACCTCCTCCACAGGGACTGGGGAGAGAGGAAACTGTAGTGGTTCTTCCCATAGGCTCCAATGGTCAGACTGCCGGAGTTCAAATCCCAGCTCTGCCACTTCCTAGGTGTGTGACCTCTCTGTGCCTCAGTTTCCACATCTTTCCCCCCAGCTTTACTGTGGTGTAATTGACAAATAAAAATTGTATATGTTGAAGGTGTATCCACATCTTAAAAATAATGATAGTACCTTTCCTCATAATATCGTCCTGAGGATGAAATCAGTTAATACATTTAAAGGGCTTGGAATAGTGTCTGATTCCTAAGTGCTAAATAAATGGCAGCTAGTGCAATTATTCCAAAGCCCTCCATTGGCCTCCAGGCCCAGGCCCCTCTTCTGCTGCCCTTCAGCTCTCAGCAGATGACTGCACCCTTTACTTTGTGAAAATGTCAAAGCCGTCCTGAAGAAGCAGCCCTCTCAAGGCCCTGCCCTGCACGTCAAAATGTCTCTAAGCTTTGCTTCGTCCTTCCTCCTCCCCGCCTGTCTCAGAAATCAGTGGCCCTCATCCTCGCCAAGGCCAACTCTTCCACTTGTGTTTTTGAGCCCTTCTCCTCCCACCCTCTCTGGACTTTTCCTCATCGCCATCACCTCCCGTCTTGCATCTTCAATATCATTCTCTTGACAAGTATTCATTGAGTGCCTCCTGTGTGTCTGGCACTGTTCAAGGTGCTGGGGATATAGAAGTAAATGAGACAAAGTCGCTGCTCTCATGGTGCCTTCATCAGGGTGGGGCCGGGGTGGGGGTAGGCAGATATGCAAATAAGAGTGCCCAAGGTAACTCTAGATTATGACAAGTACTGTGGAGAGAATAAAGCAGGGGCATGTGCTAGAGAATACAGCAAGGGCACTTGGTCAGGGGAGGTTGCTTTGAGGAGGTGATGTCTGAGCTGAGACCTAAATCGCAGGAAGCCAAAAGACACCATATCTTCTTTTGGAGTGGGGGACACAGAGTCTCACTCTGTCATCCTGACTAGAGTGCAGTGGCATCATCATAGCTCACTGCAACTTCAAGCTCCTGGGCTCAAGGGATCCTCCTGCCTCAGCCTCCCGAGTAGCTGGGACTACAGGTGTGCACCACCATGTCCAGCTAATTTTTCTATTTGTTTTTGTAGAGATGGGGTCTTGCTGTTGCTCAGGCCGGTCTCCAACTCCTGGCCTCAAGCAATCCTCCCGCCTCAGCCTCCCAGAGCGCTAGGATTACAGGCGTGAGCCACCACACCCGACCCACAAGACACTATATCTTGATTTGAATGGTAGTTGCACTGTATATACCCCCCAAAAAGAGCCAGACGTGCAAGATCTCGCAAAGAACATTCCAAGCAAAGGAGAGAACAAATGCAAAGGCCCTAAAGCAGCAAAACAGCTTGCCATGTTCTGAGGACATCCAGGCAGAACACAGTGAGGGGAAGCATGTGCTGGACAAGAGGTGGGCAGGGGCATGATCACACAGGGCCGGAGGAGCCTGGGGAAGGAGCCTGCATTTTATTCCACATGCCACAGGAAGCCACAGCTGGCTTTACTCAGGGGAGTGACATGATCTAACAGTTCTCTTTCCTCGTAATAATAACTAATAACTCTAGCTGTCATTTATCCCTGGTGCGGTACTAATACATTTAACATCACCTTTAGCCTTGACAATAACCTTAAAAGGTATTGCTTTATCCCACTTTTATAGGTGAGAAAACTGAGGTTCAGAGAGACAGTGTAACTCGGTACTTGGCTAGTGGCCAGCCAGAATATGACCCCGGAGGCCAGATTTGTTCTCTTAGACACAGCCACTGTCTCCCCAGCTGGAGTAGGGGTGAAGGTGGAGGTGCTCCTTAAAATCCCTGTCCCTTCTAACTACATCCCAACATTTCATGTTAGCTCGATTACCAGCAGCTCAAACTCAGCCTATCTTTGACCCTGCCCAGCTTCTCCTGGCATCCTCCTCTCTCCATTACCCAGATCTAAAGCTTCAGTGAGTTTTGGTCCCTGCTCCACTTCTAATCAGTTGTAACTCAACAAGTATTTATCGAGCACCTGCTAAGTGCAGGCCCCTGTGCGAGGTTCTGAAGGAAACCCAAATGGGTGAGACTGATCACTGTAAGATGAGAGAGACATAATATTTTTTTAAAGAAGGAAAAAGAAAGGATGAATGGAGGAAAGGCAGACAAGAAGGAAAGAAAAGAAGGTGGAAGGGGGATTGAGGGAGGAAGGAACGGAAAATGGGAAGGAAGGAAAAAAGGAAGGAGGGAGGGAAGGAAGGAAGGGAGGGGAAGGAAAGAGGAGATAGGGTGTGATGGGACCTCCAGGGAAAAGGGGGCAGGGCCAGGGGCAGGTCATTCACGGTCTCCATCCAGACCCACCACCAAATTCAAACCCTCGTTACCTCAGGCCTGGG